AAGCCCTATCCACCGAAGACCATCAGAGACGAGGTTTTACATGGGCAAAATCAGACATAACAACCCAAGTCAGCGACGGAGGGTACCCCAAAGGAACTATTTGCTGCTATCCAAATAGTTGTAAAAATTGTAAATATTTGTAAAAATTGGGTTCCTAATGAAAGATTCTGAGAAGGGTCCCATTTCTGTATTGGGTGCTATTTCTGAGGTAGGGTTAGGAGAAGCAGCAATTAACTAGTGATTCAGTGCTATCATGATGTGAGGGAGGATTACCAGTTGGGTGTCCCTGGTAATAGATAGGAATAGCAAATGGATCTAGAGATATCATTGATAAGAAGGCAGTAGTCACTCGAAGAGGGGGTCATTGGGCATTAAAGACTTCTCAGAAGTGCGCTGTGAGTGCTTTGAAGAGAGCAACCTGAATTCTCATGCCTACAAACTCATAGTTCCTTCCACATGGTGGCAGTTCCAAAGGGCCATGTTAGTTTTATTCTCTAAGCAGGGTTGTTGAAAGAATCCTAGAGAACAGGGAGTTCATAAAATGTTGGCAATTTGTTGGCAGAATGGCAACTACATCCTCTGAGAAATCATGAAACAACAACAAAAATAACATTTCAGATTCCACTGCAAAACGTCATCCTCAAGTATCTCTGAAATGGTTGTGATTTTTAAGTAAATTGGGCACTTTTTTTCAGAGACTTTTAATTTCTCTGAAGGTGCTAAGTAGAGGCAGCATGGGGACCTAGTGATGGCTAAAGGAGATAAAGCTTGCATATACACAAGGCAAGCCGCTCTACCTGTGCTGGGTCTTAATCTTACTGACCTGAAATGTTGGACACCTGTCTGGAGGTTAGTACTAAACTACAGAGAAAACACTAACATCATAACACTATGGCTACAGATTTGCTCTAGGAACCAAAATTTACAATAAAGTATCCTGAAACTTACCCACTGACCCCATGTAGAGGGCTGGATGTGTCAGTCAGAGAAAAGACTGAAAGCCTAGGATAAGCCTACTGGATCTGGGTCCTCAGGGACCACCAAAAGCTGTATTCATCTAAGGTAGCCTGAAGTGAGATGACATGAAATGACGTTCCCAAGATTCTTCCAGTCCCCTGCCTCCTTAAGATACGAAGAGGCTTGAACTAGAGGCACCTTCTTGCAGTCCCTTGACTCTGTTGCATTCCCACATTCCAGCTCTCCTACTAACCTAGCTTGCTCTTCACCAACAACAGTTTTCCTCACAGTAGCTCAAAGGTCCTTTTCATCTTTTTTCATCTGTACTTAGAAATACCAACTGAACAAACACCAAAGATATCAAGTCATGTTTTGAATGTAGCCTTGTAAGGGACAGAAATTTTCATAGATAATTTCTGTTCATGTCTCTGAATATATAGCATCCAAGCCAAGCCTGAGCAATAGTATATTTGATGTAGAAAAACAATACCTATAAAGTTACTATAATACATATGAGAACAGCAAAGTGTTACCTGCAGTATTACCATGATAATGACAGCTGCTAACAGTCAGATAGCATGTACCATGTGCTAGACATTGTTATAAGCATTTATGTGTATTAACTCATTTAAACCTCACAACAACCTTGTAAAGTGGATACCATTATTCTTCCTTTTGGCAGATGAGAAAATTGAGGAATGTAATACAATTTCTATCAATGTGTGACATACCTTTTAATGGAAGAGTAGAAAATTCCTACCAATAGGCCATATCTCATGTTTAGGGTATGTTCACATTGATTTTAGAGTGAAATCTCTTTGTTTCTTGAGGCTACATTTAACCAATTAATTTCCTCAAGAGTGACTCGAGATGACCTATTGGAAATGAGAGCCCTAAAATGGAAGGTGAAGGGCAACTATAAAAGGCACTGTCTAGTAACAGACTGGAAAAAACACTGAAACTTCCACCCAAAGAAGAATGAATGAATTGAAGTATAACTAAGGAATGGAGTATCATACACATGGATAAATCTCACAAAAATAATATTGAAAGGAAAAAATCAAGTTGCAGAAGAATATATGATAATGTTTATATATAATGTAAAATTGTATGAATAGTACCAAATGGTGTTTAGGGATACATGTACTGCTAACCCTTGAACAGCATGAGGATTAGGGGTACTGATGCCCTGCACAGTAGGAAATTTGTGTATTAACTTTCGACTCCCTGGAAACTACTAATAGCTTAATGTTGACTGGAAGCCTTATCAGTAACATGAATAGTCTATTAACACATTTTTTATGTTATACACATTATACACTGTATTTTTATAATAAAGTAAGCTAGAGACAGAAAATGTTAATAAAATCGTAAGAGAAAATACATTTAGAGTACCGTACTGCAAAAAAATATGTATATAAGTGGACCCATGCAGTTCAAATCCATATTGTCTAAGGGTTAACTGTATTAAAGCTATAAAGAGATGTATGGTAACAAACACTTCATTAAATGCTCTTCTGTGTCAGACATTGTGCCATTATAGATATTATCTTGTATTTGGAGTACTCAAGAATTATAGAAGTACTTATCAAGGTTTCTAATGTCATGAATTAGATATGGGATGGTATAGTAGTGTTGCTAATTCTGTATTTTATTAAAAACAAAGTAAAATAGGGATGCCTGGGTTCCTCAGTCGATTAAGTGTCTGACTCTTGGTTTTGACTCAAGTCATGATCTCATGGGTCATGGGATCAAGTCCTGCATTGGCTCTGTGCTCAGTGGGGAGTCTGAGATTCTCTCCCTTTGGCTCCTCCCCCACCTCTCTGTCTCTCTAAAACAAACAAATCTTTAAAAAAAAAAACAAAGAATAAGACAGAACTTACCATCTATCCTCATCATTATTTATAAATAAAAGATATTCTAATACTTCCAAATATGTTAAAAACATAATCACAGGGGAAAATTTTAATTGAGCTAGCTTTATCTCACCAAATTCTTTATTCTTCCCTGAAGAACATAGTATAAGCAGTTCAGAGCTGCTGTTACAGAACACTCAAGATTCGCAGAAGTGGAAAGAAGACCTTCACTGATTTAAGTCAGAACACCAGTAGTCACTTCTTTCTTACTTGGTTGGCTATGGCTTCCTTCATCACAAAAAGATGAGATATTAAAAGACATAATGTGACAGCTGTTATGCTGAATTTCTCTTACACTGAAAAAAATTGCCTATAATGAAGATATGGCAGTGACATCTACGGGCTGTGTGTTCATTTGGGAAGAAGGCTCCACATGTTCCAGACAAAACAGATGCTTATTATGTTCCTCAGGGACTCTCTCACAAATTTCTGCCTTTGTATCAGTTTCCCCTCTTCTCTTTCAAAAACAGATCCCACTATTTTACCTGTAAAGCAGCCACTGAATTAAATGCTTTCCCAAGAACCACTGTATTTAGGTTGGCAATTCTGGGTTTTAACACAACTGTCACCACTGACTCCGTGCAGTTGATATGAACCACAGTAGCATGCTATGCTAAACAAGGGACAAGAAAACAGTAGGATATGAAAGTATCTACAATAGTGTAGACTATCTCTCTATGCAGCAGCTCACATGGACAAGCAAGAGTATGACAGATAAGACACCACAGTTCTAAGTGTTGTCATTCACTCTCCTTGAATCCGAGTGAGAGGATTGGGCAGTTTTACAATTTCAAAGAAGAGAAAATGATGGTAAAGGATGCATAGAACTGAGTTGGAACTAGTAAATTCACTCCAAGATAAAAGTGAGGGTGATTTGGGGGCGCCTGGGTGGCTCAGTCGGTTAAGCGTCTGCCTTTAGCTCAGGTCATCATCTCAGGGTCCTGGGATCGAGCCCCATGTGAGGCTCCCTGCTCAGCCAAGAGTCTGCTTCTCCCTCTCCCTCTGCCTCTCCTCCTGCTTGTGCTCTCTTGCTCTCTCTCTCTCTCTGACAAATAAATAAAATCTAAAAAAAACTTAGAGCAGTATTGATACCTCTGCTCAAATTAATAAATATCCTTCTCAGTAGACTCTCTTGTCAAGGAAAATTTCTTGTTTATTTAACTCCCTTTTCCAAAGAACCCATATGAACGAATAAAAGTCTAAAATAGTACGGTAAAATATATCTTCAATCAACCTGCCACAAGTCCACATGACAAACTTACCAGAAACACAAAATCTGGATCAAATAAAAGAAAGAAGCTACAGAGAACACTTTACATGTTGATCACAGTGCAGAGGTCTGAATATAGATGAAAGGCAAGAAAAGGCCCTGAAAACAACCCTTTTTTGAAATGATGAAAACAGAAGGAGAGATATAGGCGTTCCCCATTTTGGTAATTTCATTTTACTCTTTATATTGAAAATTTCAAGTACAGACAACAGCAGAGAAAATAATGTAATAAACCACATGTGTCCATTACTCAGATTTAACAATATTCAATTATAAATGAAGCAGGCAGAACAGATTTGGATACACTGGGTCTCTGGTGGTAGATCAGTCCCCTACATAAAATTAGCTCAGCTTCTATATTTTTATTTATACAAACAACCAAACAAAAACCCTACTGCTAAAGCCATTAGGTTTCTTCACTCAGAAAGAGTCCTAAATGATATGAGATGAAGCAGGGCAGAGAATACTGGGCAACAATGAGCTGAGATTCAGGTTTGCAGTTTCAGGTGAAAATTAATTGAGATAAGTTAATAACAATGCAACCAAAAGTTTGGGGACCAAGGGGATTTCACAGTCACTCACTTGCCAACATGAAACTTGCTCTCCTCAAAGCAAGGTAAAGGATTAACTCTGAGGTAGCCTCACACTTCTAATCAAGGGAGCACATACAGCCCTCTGGCAGATGGTATTGCAAATTTGGCAAGCGCTAAGAGAGAGCTTACCCGAATTAAAATTACCAGCAGCCAACTGTCAGTTCACTCCAGATACCACTGCCACCTCCCACGCTCAAAAAACACAAGATCTAACCGCGATTACAAACCACCAATTCAGTCACTAAGTGAAAAATGAAAAGTATCCAGGGAAGCAAAGAAAGGAGCTGAGTGGAATCCTCCAATATTTTTTCTAAGGCAAAATAACGACACAGATAGAACTTCTACTCAAAGGTATGTAAAAAGACAATCTGGCCTTGGATCTCTGTAAATACACTGTGTCAAACAAAAAGAAGGACATAGACATTAGAAGTGAAGTTCAAATACAGAATACATGTTGAAATCAAAAAAAAAAAAAAACAAAAAACAAAAAAAAAACAGAAGAAAACTTTTGCAAAATTGTCTTTGTATTCTCAAAAGAACTAGAAGCTATCAATGAAGAGAGTACTGAAGATGGAAGATACAACGACATGGAGAAAAAGTTATGATGGTAATATTTTTTCTTATTCTTGAACTTCCTTCATCTAACTCCACGTCATCTTGACAGTAAGTATTCTTTTTTTTTTTTCTGGAACTCAGAAGATTCTGGATTCAGATAGTCCTTTATTGCAAAGTTTTATTTTTTCCTTGACTAATTTTTCTGTTCTTTTTGTTCTGTTTTTCTTCTTCAATTGGGCAAGTTAGAAATCTTTTGGTCTCTATGGCATGTGTTCTATATATATCATCTTTTTATTAAGATTTAGAAGAAAAAACAAAAAATAAAATTTATCATAGATCTGAAAGTAAGGAAGCACTAAGGGCTAGACCTAAGATGAAAAAGAAGCATATCAGTAACTTTGAGGACAGGCTTGAGAAATGGTGAAAATGTAATGGGAGACTAAAAAAATAATTTAGTATAAACAAAGAAACAAACAAATAAATATCTGAACCCAGGTAGAAAGATCTTATGTTCTACAAAGGAGGGAAAAATTACATTACTCTCACTCTTCTCCACAAAACATTAGATTCCAGAAGAAGAGACCATTTGCATAAAAAGCTAAGGGGAAGGTCTATTCTAATAGAATTTCATAACCAGCCAAGATATCATTTTTAGATTTAAATAATGGGAAGTAAAGGCTCAATATTTGTAGCACTCACAAACTCTTTAAAAAAAAACCATTTAAATAAATAAGGCAGTCACTTTTTCTTTAATTAACTAAAGTTCATATTCTATTCAAATTTCTTCAGAATTTTCCTATTTTTTTCTATTCCAAGATTCTCCTGCATTCCTGACTCACAAAACTATAATATAGTAAGTATTTGTTGCTTTAAGCTGCTAGTTTTGGGGCATTTTGTTACATAGCAATAGGTAAACTACTAATTATAATTGTGTAGCCCCAAATTAGGTAGTGTGGTTTTTCCATTCTGCTTGCACTTTTCCTAAGTATTAATTTACTATATCTATTCTCTTTGCATTTTCACCTAATGTTTTGAATTGATTTCAATAAACTGCATGGTTTGAGCATTTTAATTTCATTAGTGAGACTTTCTGTTCCGTGACCTCTGACTTGGAAGCTACCATTATATCAAGGCAATTTCCCACAGCAATAGCATTATTATCAGTGGTGGCTGCCACAATTTTCACAAAGTCTCCCTCCCAATTCTGGGACTAAGGATGTGTAAATGTTTTCCTGAAGGTGCTCAGCTGGTTCGTTAGGAGGGATTTGTTATTTTTACACAGAGTAAATGTGCGGAAGAAGCCTTGGAAATAATTTGAAGAGTAAAGTAAATTTCCAAAGAAAATGTAGAACTCTGCCCTGAACATAAGCAGAAATTGCTATCAGTGCTGGTCACAAGTTGTAGTTGTGTCAACGTTGCCTAGTCCCATTTCTGGGCAGCTACAACTCAGTGAGGGTTCCTCAATTGGTATAGAGGTGGGAACGAACAACTCAGAAAATAAATAGTGTTCAGATGGTATTTATGGGAAAAACATAAATCATTGACTTCAAGTCAACAAGTGGTTACTGAAGACTTAACTATGTGCCAGGTTCTACCCCAGGTGCTATGAAAAATAAAACAATGACTAAGACTCAGTTCTTGACAAAAACCTTTGAGACACATTTGCTCATGAGTGATAGAGTCACAATTTTTCCTCACAAGGAGAGCACGGTGGGAAGGATGTCCCATGAAGCAGATGCAAGTACGAATGCTGATGACTATGCTGGCGAGGGGATAGTAAGCTTTGTGTGAGGCCCACACCATGTCATGGACTAGAGGAAAATTTTACTTCCTATATAAAAACTAATGTTTAGGGCGCCTGGGTGGCTCAGTTGGTTAAGCGACTACCTTCGGCTCAGGTAATGATCCTGGAGTCCGGGGATCGAGTCCCGCATCAGGCTCCCTGCTCAGCAGGGAGTCTGCTTCTCCCTCTGACCCTCCCCCGTCTCATGTGCTCTCTCTTTCTCTTTCTCGCTCTCTCAAATAAATAAATAAAATCTTTAAAAAAAAAAAACTAATGTCTAGGGTTTTTTTTATAGTTTCCATAAAAAATGACCACAAATTTGGCAACTTAAAACAATACATTTTATCATCTCACAGTTCTGTGGGTGAGAGATCTGGGCAGAGCATGGTTCAGCTGTTTTTCTTTTTAAGAATTTTTAAAATTTATTTATTTGAGAGAAGGAGGGAGAGAGAGAGAGAGTTAGAGAGAGCACAGCGGGGTGAAGAGCAGAGGGAAAAGCAGACTCCCTGCTGAGCAGGGAGCCTGATGCAGGACCTGGGATCATGACCAAGAGCTGAAGGCTGAACCAACTGAGCCACCCAGGCATCCCTCAGCTGGTTTTCTACCCCAGGTTTCATAAGGCTGAAACCAACATGGCAGTAGGGCTGTATTCCTTTTCTAGAGGCTCTAGGATGAATCTGTTTCCCAGCTCATTCAGCTTATTGGCAATATTCAGTTCCTTGTGATTTGGGACTGAGGTCCCTGTTGTCTTGCTGGCTGTCAGCTAGATGCTGTTTTCAGATTCTGGAGAGTAACTACATTCCTTAGCTCATGTCCCTCTTCCATTTTCAAAGACAGCAGTGATGAGTCAAATTCTTCTCACACTTAAGATCTCTCTGTCCTCCCCTCCTGCCTCATCTTTCCTGATTTCTACTGCATCTGACTTTTCTGCCTTCTTCTTCTCCTTTTAAGGGTGTATGTGATTAAATTATACCCACCCAGATAATCCAAGAGTATCTTCTTATTTTAAAGTTAGCTTCCTAGTAGCTTTATTATATGTGCAAAGTTCTTTTACCACAATACCTAGCTTAGTGTTTGAACAACCAGGGGCAGGAATATTGGGGGTGGGGTGGGGAACATCTTTAAAATTTTGCCAACCCCAATTCTCAACAGAGCTCCTGCACTGAAAAAATGCTGGTTTGTTCCTTCAATACAAAAACCATATATCACAGATTCTTCCAGGGCTGGAAGTTTGCAGAAAATGGGGTGAAATGATGGGAACTGTTAATCCCATACAAATGTAAAGACTAGAATGATTTTTGCTGTTTAAATATCAGTTCTATTTGGAGCCAGCAATCACAGATGTCGACTATGTGTTTTTAAAAAAATCAATACATTCCTGGAGTGATGATCAGTTAGAAGGGTTATAAATTTCACGTATGGCTTACAAGAAATGGATAGGGAAACTTGCCCAGTATATTGACTATTTTGCCTTTGAAATGTAACCATCAATATAAAGGCCTCTTATGCAGAAGAAACCAGATTTATGATTATTTGGCGGAGGAGGAGGGGTATAAGCCTTTACTGAGCTTTGACTTGGGGCCAGAAATTGGTGAGTCATTATTATAATCATGTCTTTTGGCTTTATATGTCAGCAGAGTAGGTTTCTTGTCCTTCCTGTGTTTTCCCCCCAAGGCAGAGCCAAAGGAGGTGAGGAGGTAAGGAGGCCCAGCAGGCTCAGCTAGCCAAGACTTGCCATGAGGCTGCTCATTTCAGGAGGCCAGGCTGCCATTGGAATTTTTATTATAGATGGAAGAAACAAAGATGCTCATCATTTTGGCCATTTCCAAAACACTTCTTGATTTTTCAGGTTTATATTTTTTCCTATTTGGATAATATGCAGCAGGTCTTCATCAGGGTGAACAGATAGCTTGTTAACTTCTCTTTTATGAAGTTTCGCTTAGGAACACATGCCATGGTTTTAAATCAGGGAAAATTGGGTGCAGGATCTTCCCTTTAGAGCCTTAAACAAAATGAAGATATTTTATTTTAAAAAACAATTACTTAATTTAATAATTTAAAATGTTTAGGTTTGCCTGTTTGTTTTCATTATAAAACAGGGCAATCAATGCCTCTAGCCACCTTCTTAGAGTGAGAGTTGGAACAGTGCCAGGGAAGGCAGCAGCAGCCTTGGGGGAAGGACTGCACTGCTAAAAGCTGGAGCTGATCTACTGTCTAGGAAACTGGGGTGGCTAGAAAGTGGGTAATTTCCTGAGAAACTCTACGGCCAAATGTAACCATGTATAAAAAAGGGAATATCACCTCTACAAAGGTGAACCATTAATTTTATTTTCATTTTTGAGTAGGAGTACTTTCCCATTGTTGAAAAAAACTAGGTACATATATATATACACATATATGCATGTATACAAAATATGTGTGTATACATACACATACACATGTGTGTATATCTGTGTGTGAGGTTTGCTCCTACTTCTGGCCCCATCTTCTTGGATTCCTACCATCACTCCTTGTTTTTGAAGGGAGCTATCTTTATTACTGTCTCCTTTATCCTTTAAGAGTTTTTTCATGCATATAAAAGCAAGTATTAATATATTGCCTTATCTCCTTTGTACACAAAATACAATATACTCAGGTCTGTACCTTTTTCTCACTCATAATCATACCTTAGAAATTTTTCTCATCAGTACATAAACAGCTTCTACATTCTTTTTTATAGCTACACAGTATAGGTCCTCAATTCCTCATCTGCATTTCAGAAAAACAAAATAAAACTTTGACTTGCTTGGTATTTCATTCCTAGATATATATCTAAGAATAGAGTGTACATAGACATACTATAAGACATGTGATGTCTTACTTATGTCTCATAAGTAAATCAAATCTTACAAAAAAACCCCCACACAAGTATGTTTACCATTCACTTGATAATTATATTGATTTTCTATTATTGCCTGAGCAGATCACCACAAATTTAGATTCTTTAAATAGCACAAATTTATTATCTGCAATT